ATTTGGCAACTGTGCAGGACAAAACTGAAGAGATAACAAACAAACGCATAGCAAGGCTCCCACAGCTATATCTATCCGCATCGGATTTCCATCTGTCGGAAATAAAATTCATTGTCTACTCGCTCGGCGTTCAAAATTTACACCTCGAGGGTTGCAACAACTTGATCACGGATGACCCGTGGGCACCGGTCACGATCGAGACCTTTGAAGCGCGTTTACTCGAGGAGATTCCAGGAATCAGATGCGTCATATCCGAATGGGAAACTACTAGCGACTGGCCTTGTCGTAACATCTTCGACACAGAATGAACTCAGGTTCGGATGAACTCGTTATTCCATCTCACGACTTATGTCCAGATCGGTTCGCCAGATCAGAGGAGACTGACGGAGTTCAAAACACGGCCTGAAAGCTCGATTGACGAGTACGACGGCTGGAATTTAATCTAATGTGTCTGGCTTTGTATACCTATTTTCGCGGATTTGTCCTACGAGACTGTTAGCCAACTTGCATGTTATGAGTGTAGCTCTTTTACTCTGCAATGTGGTGCAAATATATCCCTTTTTGGTTCACATGAACAATTAGCACGTGGTGTTTTGCCTGTCTGGTTTCGCTGGTGTAACACCCATGATGTAACGGTGATCAGTCACTTGAGTACGACCACCACCGACCTAGTATACGACGGGTTAATCTTCTCTTATCCAAGTTAAATAGCACGAGACACAATACTAACCCTGCGTTGTAGAATTCCAGTGTCTAGGTAAGACTGTTAGGGTGAACTTGCAAAAGGTCGCGCTGACCCCTATCTCGCTGCTTGCCCGCTCCCATCTTAGCTCGGCTGTCAAAACCTACCTTACCGCCTCTGCCGAATCGACCGCGGTTTGTGCCCAAACAGACAGCGAAACGTAGGACGTTCAAGCGGCGCTCTCGACTATGGGCAGAAAACTGGACCAAAATTGTGTCCGAAGAAAATGGGCTTCAGATCGCGAGAACCTCTCTTACGACCGCTAGAAATTCATTGACAGCTCTAATCCCCTTCCGTTCTCTACCCCCCGAGATCCTGTCGGAGATATTCTTGATCTTAAACCGTTTGGAGGCCCCCGGGATTGGACGTGTACCCAACGCTTGTCTAGTTGCCGCTGTCAGCTCGTATTGGAGACAAGTTGCGATCAACGAGCCAAGACTATGGACGGATGTCAATATCAAAACATCTCAAATCGATTCCCACTATGCCCTGGCTCTCGTCGGTCGTTCCAAGCATCTCCCACTACGGATGTGCATTTTCGAGTCCATCGAGCGAGTTGGATTTGATGTTTTGCAAGCGAAGCGCCACGATAGGGCGAATGCGTTCTTGGAGCGGGTAATGCCGCGCGTCGAGAGCCTCGAGTTGGACTCCCACTCTTGCTCCACGGACATTCCCAATATGGGCTTTGGCGAATGGACTCAACATGGCTCGATAGCCTCCGGAAAGAAGCTGCGCATTAGGAGGCTCGAGGCGCACCTACCGCCAGGTCCAATTTCATACGAGTGGGAGATTATATTGGATTTGTTTAATCACGCAGAGGGTGTCTTGCTTCCGGTGACTCATCTCCAGCTCAAGCAATATCTCATCCCCTGGAACAGCAAAGCCTACGAGAATCTTTTGGACCTTCAACTCTTGTTTCGTCCAGATGGCCAAGTGCAGATTTTGGTAGGACAAATGGCCAAAGTGTTTTCTGCTAGCCCCCGACTCAAGAGCTTGAAGGTCGCCGGGCTAGAAATCCGCAACCCTGGCAATTCTGCTCTCCCGATGCCTTCGCCGCTAAATGACTTGGATGTTCTTGTCCTTGGCGATATGCAAGGCGAAAGCCGGACATTTTTGGCGCAGCTGATTTCATTGTTGGATTGCACCGGTACTCTCAAGATATGTATCGAATATTTTACGCATGGGTCCCTTATTTCTACCGTATCCCTGTTCTTAAACTGTGCTGTCAAAACCGTGATACTCTCTCACTACCAAACGCCACGGTGCACGGTGCACGGTCCGCTTTTCGTCGCCCCTACTTCAGCTGATTCCGTCATTGGATACACTTGTTTTGGCTCACTGCGATTATTCAATAGCATCAGGTGTGCCAGCTCAGGTGTATCAGGTCTTTGACCAGATTTCAGAGGCAGCCAAACCATGTCAGGATCTACAGAACTTATACCTATTCTCTGTGCGCATCGATCGGACCGAATTGAAGCACATTGTCTCTGCGCTGGTAGTTCGAAACTTGCGTTTTGGATACTCGGAGCCGCCAAGTGGAGAAGCACAATCGGATTCTGATCGAAGGTCACTCAACGCAGTGTTACTTGAGGAGTTTCCAAACATGGTATGCCACGACGACGAAGATTTCCGGGAACGGCCCGAGTGGCAGTGGGTGGCGTCACTACTCTAACCGTCGGGTGAGGACACAGAATTTCGAACTTGTTCAGATGGGATAGCATCTAAACTGATGTCCATTCCATCTGTTTGTAGTCCTCATAGGTGGCGTTGGGGAGTGTCCAATAGGTGGCTGATGAGGAGAGCACGTCTGTGTCATGCATTGGTTGTCAAATAACGAATCAACTGAATAAAATGAGTCTCATTATGAATGAAATGTTTTGTGCCACACTTACAAGTCGAATAACTATGAGGTTCCACGGCAATGGGGTTCCTGTGGCTAAGCCACAGGCGCACGGACCACCATGTCCGCTTAGATAAACCCGCCCGGAAGCAAATCAAAAATCTTCACAGTCCCCTCGATCCCATCACCCAAGACGAAACTTTTATTTCTGAAATGTATCGTGTAAAAGGGTTTCGAGTAGAACAAGAGCTCATCGCTGGGCATGTCGTTGTCCGTTTCATGCCGCTATTGGATTGACGACTAATCAGCGTTGGGTGCATTTTTTCTATCGCATGTATGATAGTTCTGCCTGGTTGGTGAATAGGATTATTATGAGTTTTGGTTGTTTGTGATGTACTGTGTGGATAAAACGCTTAGTTTTCTTGTATCGACCTAAGCTGGATTGACAACAGTTGTCCATTGCTTGAATAAGTTGGTGCTAGCTCAGCCTCAAGAGAACCGAGCCCCAGTCCAGTTTACCTCCAACTTTCTAATCCATCGCATTCAATTTGGTTCGCTTCACACGTCATCTCAGTCCGGTAGAAAATGATACCCATTTGCCGGGAGCCCGTCCTTCCAAAATCTTATCGCTTATGGACGCAAACGTGTAAACTTTCTTAACTATTGCAAAATAATAAATGACTACAAAACGAAATTATCCACCACGCGGTCTACTGCTCGTTGACAAACACGGCGGCCATGCCCATACCCGAACCGATACACATGCTGGTGACGATGATGCGCTCCTTGGTTCGCTTGGCGTGTGCGAATGCGGTTGCGACTTGACGAGCACCAGCTATACGAGGGTAGATTAGAATGCGGTCTAATGTATGGACGAGAGAAAGACGTACTGCATCCGAGAGGGTGTCCCATGGCGATTGCTCCTCCGCTAGAAGTAACAGTGGTGAGTCAAGGGGAGTGAGGAAGGGATGAAATACGTACTTGGGGTTCACCTTCTCGATCGGAATACCAAGGTGTTGGATGGACATGACGGCCTGCGAAGCAAAGGCCTCGTTGATCTCGAAAAAGTCGACCTCGGAAAGCTCAAGGCCGGCTTTGGACAGTGCTTTGGGAATCGCGAACGCCGGGCCGACACCCATGATTTTGGGTGGGACTGTACATGCAATCAATACCGAGGGAACGGATGTGTGGGGACGGAGGGAACGTACCACCAACCACGGCCGACGTGACAAACTTGCCCAGGATCGGCAGACCGAGCTTTTGAGCGACGCTTCGTCGAGCCAAGAGTACAGCAGCAGCACCATCTGAGACCTGGCTAGCATTTCCAGCATGAGTCGAACCGGTCTTGGAAAACGCGGGCTTGAGCTTGGCCAAGCTCTCGGGAGTCACGCCCTCTCGAACGCCATCGTCCCTGTCGACGACAATCTCGGTCTCCTTTTCCGTCTTGGGGTCGACCCATTTCGTCTTGACGGGGACAATCTCGGCTTTAAAGTTGCCGGCTTTTGGGCAGCGGCGGCTTTGGCAAACGAGTGTGCGGCGAACTTGTCCTGGGTTTCGCGCGAGATTTTGTATTGGGCGGCGACGTTTTCAGAGGTGATGCCCATGGGGATGAGGCAGTCGGCGGATTCTTGGTTGGACATGACTGCGTCGGAGAATGCGGCTGGCATGACGCCTGCGCCGTAGCCGTGAGTCATGCTCTCGACACCAGCACCTACATCGTAGTCGAAATTAGCCAAACGTATCATAGATGGAAGAGTGAGAATGTAAACGCACCGATACCGATGTCGATCTGCCCAGCACTAATCTCGTTTGCAATCTGGCTGACAGCGGTGAGACCCGAGCTGCACTGCCTGTTGACAGTGTAGACGGCGCTCGAGTTGGGGATACCAGCGTGGAGAGCAGCCATGCGCGCGGCAGTCGCTCCGCCTCCGGGCGGGAGCACGTTTCCCACCGCGACGTCCTCGATGAGCTTGGGGTCGAGCTTGGCAGACGTGTAGACCGCCTTGAGGACGTTGCTCAACATCTCCTCGGGGAGCGTGTCTTTGAATCCGCCCTTTCTGGCCTGTCGGGAGGGTTAGCTGGTGTGGCGAGAGTCGGTGACAAAGAGACGGACCTTGGTGATGGCCGTTCGGAGGGCAGAGACGATGACAACGTCGTTGGGAGACTGCGTCAGGAGTTGAGCTTTGGCCATGGTGAGAGTGGGGGTGGTGGAGATGTGGAGATGCGGAGACACAGAGAGCTGGCTATAAAGTGTCGGTCACTCAGCACTCCGGCTAGGCGACCCCGAATGGAACCTACGTTTACCGTCATAGCCGGATTCACGTGTTGCACTGACACGTGAAATTCGGTGAAAATGTCTTGTGATACGCGGCCTAAGTCTTCACGAAATCCGTACACTTGATTGGGCCTCGAGAACAGTCTCCTATGGCGCAATCGGTGGCGCGTCTGACTGTTAGGCATGCTTTGTCATGCACACACAAATTTGCAATCAGAAGGTTGTTAGTTCGATCCTAACTGGGAGAGTTTTTTTGTTCTATTGCGCCGGCAAAGCTGGTAGGATTGGGAAGACCCCGTGTGCCCAATTTGTGTTCTTTGGCGGTGGATCATTATATATTTTCATTAGAACGGAGCATCTGTAACCATTCTGGTAATCCCATTTGTTCTAGACTACCCTTACACTCTCAACCCTCATCCTAAGCCACTCTATCGTAGCTCCCCACTCGTTCTGAGCGCTTTCCTCCTGGGGGAAATGGCACCCGTGGAGGTCAAGTACCTCTGGCATATAGGCAATAGCTACTAACTTCAGCCGTGACTGAGCAAGTGGATTCATTCTACCACTGACAATTGTCAAGGTCCGGATGGTAGGGCGTCTTGCCCGGTGCTTTCCATCAATATAAGCTATTACGAGCATATCCAACAGGCTACCAAAACATCATTATGGAGATCTAATCTCAGTGAATGAAGTTCGGGTAGGCTATCGAGATATTGAGCTAGTACGGGGCCGTCTTGATTGGGAAGCAAATTACCCACGGTCAAATCGGTAATGTAAGAGCGCTCAAAGAACTGACATATAGACTCGTGGTAGCGCCGGTTATCAGTCTTGGGCATAAAAAACGATACTTGAAGTTCCTGGTCCCAAGTGTGAATTATGGAAAACAGTTGACCAGAGGCTAATGGTTCGTCCAACAGAATGTTCAGGTGTTTCAGTTAAGGCAAGGTAATCTTGGGATAAGTGTTCTTCGTACCTAGCGCAACAGAGATGCCAAACAGACTTATCGTTTGTAGGCTCGGATATCTATTGAGTACATTCATGAGCTCGTCTAAATTCGGGGTCATTCTCCTTGAGAGACCAAACAACTCGAGTGTCGTCAGAGATCCGGGCATATAATCCCACCAGTTGCGATGACAGAGAGGCAAACTACTTGAAGTATGCCCTTGAGTGATAACCTCCTTGAGAATATTCGAGCCACCGGCCGCCCCGTATAAACGAAGCACTTCTACTATGTGACTCTCGGTCGAGCGACCGGGAAACATGAAGCACCTGGCACGATTCAAGAGTTTCCCAATGTGTAATTCAAGCTCGGGGTCTTGGCAGCGATTTTCGGCGCAAAAGGTGATAGAAACTGGGGCGTTCTTTGACCGTTTGAGCCATAGTAGTGCTTGTCTTATCAAACTCGTGTTAAAACGTCCTTGTCCCTCGTAGAGGCTGATGTTATTCCACAGCAAAGGCGTATTGATTGCAAGCTTGCGCCACGAGGCACACACCGCGTGGATAACGCAAGACGGATGGAGGAGGGCTGGTTTGAAACCTGGTTCAGCATCGAGCCAGAACATGACGATTCCAAATATTTGTGCCAATATTTCTTCAGGAAGAGTGCTTGTCACGACCCCGCTCGCGGACGCATTTAGCCACCCTTTGCAACGATGCACGCGATAGCATGAGTTTTTGTTCTATACGAGCGAGCAAGTTCAGGTCACTGTCAATGATAGAAAGCCTCTTTCCCAGCCATTCTTTGTCGGTTTCGTTATTGTGATGCTGGAGAATAAGGTCGCCGAGTGCCCTGCAGGCATGATGTAACTCGGAAGCCGCTGAAGCGGTTTGTTTTTGAGCAGCCTCACGTCAGGCGAATGCGTCCGTCATTGGGGTTGCCACCATCGTTTGTCAATCTCGGAAGGCAGACGGAGATGGAGTAGATTTGTTTTAAGATCGTTGTTGGGTTGATGATGAAAGAAGCAGATAGGCAACGTACGTAATACTGCCTCGCGCAATACCATCACTGACCGTGAAGCGGTCCGCTTTTTGTTCGGGATTTGCCGAGCTCGCTGTACGCAATTATTTACATTTTCAACGCATTGAGTTTGTACATCACGTACATATAAAGTTGTATACGAAAAATCAGAATGGCAGCTTCTGCTTATCACAAGCAGAGCGACACACAAGATCGTCGTAAAAATAAACTCCACCCCTAGAAGCGGACCACGTGACTGTGGATGATTTCGCAGCTCTGTCCTCACAAAAACAGCTTGTATATGCTACCATGTTGGTACTGAAGCAGTATTTGGCTAGTGAGAGGCAGCAAAACACAAGTAAACAACATATTTGTTGAGAAACATAAAGTAAAATAGCTGCCTTTAATCAATGATCTCGACGTAATGGCGGAGCAATTTCACAAAGCACCATGGGCAATGCATTCTCCCCTTGAGGGCGCAGAAACACCAAACCATCAATTATTAGCTTAAGGCCGTGAAGGAGGATATCCAGGTGCGCCGCAACCAGTCCGGAGAAGGTGGAAGAGCAGGGTGAGGGCACGCCTGGACACGCTCCGAGATTGGGGCGTGTGAAGCGGCCGAAGTAAAAGGAAAAGTGGCCTGTGAAGCAGCTCTGCGTGAAACTGGGGAGGCGTAAAGATGTCATATGACAGAGCAAGGGATACGAGCTGGTAGCTGAGGTCATGGTCAGTCCTGAAGCTGTGGCCGGTGCCGTGCATGACCACCCTCCCCAGATGTTCAAGAGCCGTCGAACCCAAATTAGATGTGAATCGTTACAGTTGAAATAATAGTTATAGAAATTTGACGCAATGAATGACCCATTCCTCTTTTCCGTGTCACCTTATGAGTTCGGGAATCAAATCAGTTAAGCAGATGAATCTGACATGACTTGAGTCGTATGGTTCTGATCACCATAATTAGTAAACGACATGATTTTCGCTTTTTGACAATCATTTCTAAGTGTATTTCACTACACTAGTCCATACGCTACGTATTCCGATCAATCATAGTCTACGTCCTTTGACGATACGGGATCTAGCTCAAATGGAGTGAATTTTTGATGGACTTTTTAAGATGACAAATGTTTGAATCATGGACCACATACGCGATAGTAGGCATCTAAATATGTAAATTTCCAGTATAACTCAGCGTTGCATGCTCTATCTACATGCGAGATTTAGACACAAGTATATAATGAGAGTGGCGAGAAAACTGGAGTGGTCCTCTTCTAGGACCTGGTCTGCTTCCCGGCACGTGATGGTAGATAGGGGATGTATGCCGCAGCTTGCGGAGGCATACAGCCAAGTCTTAGCCGCAAAACCGCGGGCTGCCTCGAGGCTCGAACCCCGGTTCATAGACACGATCACGTGTCGAAATGCTCCCCGCTCTCGTCCACAGCACCTCGAGCTCCGCCTTTCTCTTCGCCGCGTTTTGCTTTTCCCGCCCACCATCCCACCGTACGACAGTGCCGTCCGGTATGGCCACCCGACCCGCGAGTTCGCTCGCGTCTCGGTGCCCCGGTCTCCCCGTCGCTCCGCGCCGGGTTCCCCACTCCCTCCGGTTCGGACGGTTATCTGTCGCTACGGACACTTACTATGTATTTAAAGACAAGATCAAACAATACAACAACTTCGTTTCGCACGCATACACGTACGCCAAGAGGCCGTCATAACGCGGTCGAAGGGTAAGATTGTTATTTGACCGAATGATTTTGATATGCAAGCGATGGTCTATATGTACTCGCGTTTCTCCTGTTATCGGATCAGACGGTTCTAACCGGGCATAGCTTCAAATCAATCAGTTTATGCCTCTGGATCGATGGTTTTATGGGGCCGGTGCTACAACCTATGGGAGGGAGCGTACTAAAAGCGACAGACAGTGTGAGGGGATGTAAAGGTATTTCGACCTGCGGAGCAGGTACGAAACCCTTGGCTATATGTATTCATATGTAGCATACAATCGAAGTATAATACATAAGCGTAACCAGATATAATTGGAAATCACAGAGAACGAGCATTAGATACAAAGTTACTAGGATACCCAAAACAGCAATAGGGCATATGCCGGATGCCACTATTCGTCCGGGGTAAGGCCGTATACTATGGCTCACGATAACCGGCTGAGAGTATACTGCTATCAATAACGTACTGTTACGCAAAGCCCAGGCATTATGGTACTAGATCATGAACACATCAATCTGGGCGGAATAGCGACCTAGGCGAGGTAAGGTCGTGAGTTTGATTCTGACTAAGCCTTTTTGGCTCAGCATACCCGTGGCCTACACGGGCTACCTTGTTATGGATTTGATGCAATAGAAAAACCAACATGTGGAAGTGGATACTTTACATCATGCACTATGGGTAAGGTCACACCATTCGACATTCCCTACTCGTGTTTCAAGCCACGTGTATATCCCGACGGCCTCCTGCTTTTTCTCAGAATCCTCAGAATTCCCCGTGCTATCTTTTCCACCCCCTAAAGTTTGATCGACATTACGAAAATATGAGTGAGGGAGAGCAAGCGTCTTAAGGTTGTGTGCGTTGACTATACGTTTCACTTGCTCCTGGCCAAGTTTGCCAAATGCACCGTGGTCGAGAATCAAAGTTCGAATTGTAGGACACCTGGCCCGATATTCTTCTAGGTGAACAGAAACCGTAAGTGCATCCAAGCAGCTACCAGTGCGATCGTCTTGGAGGTTCAAGCGAAGGCTTTGAACCCCGGGTAAATGATCAAGAAAGTGAGCCAGTATCATGGCGCCCGATTGAGGCATCAGATCCTCTAAACACAAAGAAGCAACTCGAGCGCGCTCTAGGAACCGGCAGATTAAATGGCAGTTGTGAAGTTCATCTATAGGGGGCAAGTTGAACCAAAGGTCAAGGGCATGAGAACCAGGGACAATGGCAGCAAAGAGATGTTCGGAGACGGAAGGCTCTTCAACCACAATTTTCAGGTACCTCAAATTGGGTAGAGCGATTTCAGAATAATGTATTTTCCTGCTGACATCAATCCCTGTTTTAGACAGTACCAGGGTATGCAAACTGGGGCATCTCGGAAGTAAGGCAACGAGTTCATTCAAATTTGGAGCTACACCGGCTGAAAGGTCGACTAATTCAAGAGTTGTTAGACACGGAGGAATGCACTTCCACCAATGGCAATCAGAGCTCATGCCCCGAACCCCCCGAATAGCTATTGTCTCGAGTATATCCGAGCGGCCGGACACATCGTACAGGTCAAAGATATCTGTCAGGTAAAAA